ATTGCTAGGAGGGGCGTTTGAGTTTTAAAAGGATCTCACTTCTGCTACAGCATGGGGCTCTCAGTGGCTAATGTACATAATTTTTTTTTTTACTTAATCGTTATTGCAACAATCTAAATCTTTTTATATTTATGAACGGTAATGTACTTAATAAGTTAACTATCCTTCGTCTTCTAGGATTAGCTCTTACCTTCAATCTTTCTTTGAAACCATACATCAAATCGATCGCAAAATTATATAAATCTCAAATCTGTTTTTCGATGACGCCCTTTCTCTTTTTGACAAATTGCTAAAACATATTGTAAACATAGTTAGACCTGCTCTTGCAGCCAACCTCCACCCATTAAAACATTGTCGTAATGTTGGTTCTCTTGATTATTTCTATAAATATCATAATGAACATTGTTCTAAAGCGCAATCTCTTGTTCCATCTACTAAAATTCATTCTCGCGTAACTTATCATTCAATTAAGTCTCACCCTTTTACTGTGGCTGTTCCTAAGCGCTCCAAAAATCTTTCGTTTAGTTTTTTTCCTCGAACATCAGTTATTTGGAATTCGCTCCCTTTATCTTGTTTTCCTGATTCAAATGATTTTAAATCTTTTAAGTCGTCTCTTAATAGTTTTATTGCTCTGTAAACTTCATTTTTTTCTCTTCCAGTAACTTCCAACTTTAATAGTGGTTGCTTGCAGCTGTGTTGTAAGTGAAGATATTAAAAAAAGTATATTATTTTTTATATTTTTTGATAAAATGCTAATAAATTCTTCATCGTTTTTCGGAAATAAAAGATTAAATTAGTTTAGGCCTCCTAACTGGACAACCTTATTTGTTGTATATTTACATAAAAAGTATATTTTGTGTCTCCCCTTTGTAATTGTTTCCTTGTATTAAATTTTCAAGATCATATAAAGATAATTTGAATACTTTTGGTTGTCGAACCAAAAACCTTGAAAAACGTAGCCTCATCCCAATGTTTAGGTTTCTTTAAGTGACAAAAAATGATGTTTGCCAAACTATCTAAAACTTTTCAAATTAATCATTCAATTTAAATTTCTAAATTTGTAAAGTAAGAAAATTGAATTTTATTATATAAATATTATTCTATATCAAAGTTTTTATACAACTTTATTTTATTTTCTTATACATACGATTTTCAATGTAGTTAGCCATAAACACTAACAACTAGACGATTTATTTTCCACATTCAGTTGGTTTAGTGTTTTCGGAATATACTTCTTCGTCAATGTTTTAAAAATTGGTTTTTGTTCTTTTAATTTCCCGAACTGGAACGATTCTTTTAATATTGTTACAATATCTGCTTGCAGTTCATCCAAAAAATTTTTGAATTTAATTTATTTTCTTTTATCATGCACTGGTAGAAGTTTAAACCAAGAGTGTTACATGTAGCAATTACTTCATTTTTAAAAATTTTTTTATGTTTTTCCAGTAATAGCTTTAATATCATTGTAATAGCAAGTTTGGTTTTTTAACAGTTTAATAAACAGGTTAACATTAAAAAGTTCTCTATTTTAAAAAACAAATGCATGTATTTTTTAGTCGGTTTCAGAGTAAAAAATACTCTATTTCAGCAGCACTATGAGATATCAGAAGGCAACAGCATTTAAAAATGATTGGGATCCTAATAATATTATCCAAACAGTATTAGAATAAAATTTTATACAAAAAAGAAGCTGCTGAGATAATTAAAGTCAAATGTTTAACTTTGCAAAATTAAAAAAGCTTGGCTTTTATCAAAAGGATTAAATTAACTACGATGTGTTTTGTATAGTAACATTTCTATAAAAGTATTTCCAGTATCAGAAGAAAAGAAACAGTATCAGAAGAAAAGGATTGATATTGGTTAATTTTTTTCAAAAATAGGAAATGAATTGAGTCCTATTAAGCTAAGAGCTCTAACACATAAGTATGTTCTGAAACTATAAAAAAATTTTGTACAATTACGTCGAGGTTGTTCAAAACTTTGAGAAACTAATAAACACGCTGGTGCTGATTGGTTTAGGGCTTTAAATTTTCATCTAGAACTTGTTATAAGAAAACCAAAGACAACATCAACGTTGATTTATTTTATAAAAATCTGCGCAATTATTTGACCACATTTTAGACGCCCAACGAGAAGAGCATCAAATTGATTTTTCTACAATTGCTGAAAGTTTCTGAAAGAATGTTTTAGAAACAATGTTTAATGCAGTACATTCAAGTAGATTATTTTTAACGCCATATTAAATTCTTCCAAGTTTCCATTTTAAGGGCTTCTCTTTACAAAATCTGAATGGATAATAGAATTAATTTTTAAGAAGTGGTTTAATCAGTTTTTAAAAATGTAAGACCATCTAGGGCCCTTAATTTCAAGAACATGTTGGGCCCAAAATTGTATAATATTAATAACCCTGTGTTAATAATGCTACATAATTATGAGACACATTTATCAATTGATTTTATTGAATTCACAGAGAATGTTGTAATTATTTTAACAATCCCATTTCATGAATTACAACAATTAATATACTTTAGCCTAATTCATAGCTAAATTAATTATTGTCACATTGCGTGGGCTAGCACAACTTAAAAAGATATTTAGTGTGCAAAAATATACAAGCAGAATTAAAAACAGAAATTTATATTAAAAAATTATATGAAAAAATAAGTTTTAGCAGGCAAAGCCATTAATGAATGAAATAAAAATGATGAATGCATTTCACTCATTAATGATGAGATAAGTAGATTTCAAAACATGATCTTCTTGTATAATCATTTTAAAAATTTCAGACCAAAACACTCTCAAACAAAGTTTAAAATAAATCAAGAAAATAACTATTCTCTAACACCTACTGTGATAAGAGGCTCACAATTACACTGCCTTTAAGTTAGTTAAGTATAAAGAGTACAGCATAAAATATCGGGGGTTTAAGGTATGAAACAGCAATAAAAATAACCATTTTGAAATGAAAGCTTGAAATTTGATATTTGCACTCTTTTTTATATTTTTAAGAGTTTTTGCTATTAATGTCTTTTTTTATAACGGAGATTGTATTTTTTTCATAATATAACGGAGTTATATAATATTTGTTACATTTATGTTTTACTTTACATTTGTTAAAAGCACAAATAGGGGTTCCTTGAAAAGATTTAGGGGCTCCGGTCATCTTTATCTTCTTTGAACCCCGCTTTGTTTATATGAATCTTTTTATTTTATTTTATGAAAACTTTTTTTTTTACTTTTTTTTTAATTGTATGAACAGCGAAGTATGAGTTCAAAAAAGGTAAAAAAAATGACAGGCTTGGCTTGGTTCAGTGTTGATTAAAATGTTAATGATTTAATCATCTATTAGCGTTACAGTTAATGCTCGTAGTTAGTCTTTAAAACTTCAACGTTAGACAATTCTATTTCAATATCACTTAGCTTTTGAATTTACTGGTCTATCTCATATTTTCTTTTAAAATATGTTCTTTAGTTATCTTCGTCCACTCTAGCTTAAGCAGCCTGGAAAACTTTCTAGATTAGGGTGCTTGGTTGTTCCACAAAATAAAGTTAAAATTTGCAACTAATTTAAGTGGTATCACTATGGTTGTGAAAAAAGAATTACCTGACTTAACACCTGGACTATCAAGCTTCTGTTGTATGCAGCTTGACCAGAACTTCAATCAATTCCCTAATTAACGTTAATATCACAAATAAATTTACTTTGATTAGCTTACTCAATTGCCAATAATATTACTTCCTGCTGAAAATATAACATTTGTTTTGTTGTGTGGTTCAGAAGATTTTGAAGAAGCACTTTTGCTATTGTACCACTTAGTTACTGAATTCTACATTTTTATTTGTATTATAGAATTTCTATGTAAAACGGATACATTATTCAGTTTCTAAACTTTGTACCATTTTGCATACTCAGATATTTCTGCATGCTAAGGTCGCTTTTAAAACTAAACGCCAAGTCTTCCTCTACTAGGTATGCAGTTGGCTCCTTTTGAAGTAAAAAAAATATTTTTTTTTTTAAAAGGATGACTGCAACTTCTTCTTACTTCTTTTAAAACTGCAGTAAGGTAATTGTCTCCTTTTTGGCGCGTACTAATACTTGTAGCATGCATGATTATTTTAGGATTATGTTGTTGGGTCTCATTCGACAAGTGAACTGCTTCTTTCCTTTTCGATAACAATGATAATTATTTTTAAAAAAGACGTGGACAACCAAATGTTGATGGTTCTGATAGTATAACAGCGCTTGTGATCAAATGATCAAAAACAGTTTCTACCTTTTTCTACCCAATTTGAATGCTTTGATTCAAAGTTAGTACGTTTCTATGCGCATTTTGCCACTTTATTGCCACGTCACTGCAAAATAATCAAACCTTTTACTTTTGATTTTCCTTCAAAAAAGAATCAGGATTCTTTTCTTTTAAAATATTTGTAATACGATCAAATATTGATAAAACTTTAGGAATTTGTTCGTTGATTTTGATACAGTATCAGTTTGCAGAAGAGGTTTTTTCATAGAGCTTTTTTTTAGCATTTCGTAAGCAGAGTAGACTAAAACCAATGGCATATGGCATAACTCCTATAAAACATTTACCATGATTAAATTATTGTTCAAATAATATTTGCTACAGGTTTAGGAAATGTTGTATTACAGTATTTTTGGCACGCCAGATAGTTTATGTTATCACAAGTAAAAAATGTAATTTCGACTGAATTACTTTTTTATCTTTTATTTTTATCCAAAATTATGAAATCACTAAAATGTAGACACTTTATAAAGAGAGTTTTCCAAATGCGAATAAAGTTTTTTCTTATGTAGAACTTAATTTTATAACATGTGGTGACTCGTAGTTATTCGACCATTTTTTGGTAAGATAATTTTAAAATTTTTAGTGCAAAGACTAGCCTCAATTTAAACAGTCTTCATAATTTTGGAAAATAAAAAACCAAAATACAATATATTTGTAATGTTGTAAGGTAATTTTATTTCATTTTATTTATAGCGAGCCTTATATTGCTATGGCAGTCCTTCGCTTAATTGAGAGCGAAAAGTGTGTTGTTGAGGGAGCTGGTGCAACTGGATTAGCTGCTGGGCTATCAGGTCAATTATCTCATTTAAAGGGCAAAAGGTATAATATTGTAACTTGTAGTTTTAAAACTTTTTGCTAAAAAATTTATAATAGATATAATTGATTATTACGTAAATAACTTTTTTGTTTAAAAAATTGATTTAAACTTTTTCCAATTTTTTTTTTTTTTTTAAAACTGTTATATTTTAATACAACTATTTCTTTAAAAAGAGTTGTTTTTTTACTATCTGGTGGAAATATTGATTCAACTGTTCTTGGAAGAGTTATTGAGCGTGGATTAGCTGCTGATGGTCGGTTAGTCAGATTTTCTGCAGTGATATCAGACAGACCAGGAGGTTTGTTGGAACTTGCTAAGGTGCTAGCAGAACATGGTGCAAGGTATTATAAATTTTATAAAAGTTAAAAAAAATTATACATTGGAAATGTCACAATATGCATAAAATAATTTAATTGGCATTGGGTATTAGTTTTTCAGTTTTATTTATCCCAAATTAAAGTTCATCTACTAGGTATACAAAGTTATGCAACAAATTTGGTTTAAACATGTTTAAAAACGAAAACGCTGTAAAGTTTTAAAAAAATTACAAAATTATTTTATAAAGATTTTTTTGTACAAACTTTATGCCGAACTTTCGTCTGATTTCCTCACACAGAAATTCACAAAAAGAAAAACCTTGTTTGTAAAGTTTCGCAGTACAAACAAGCCAGTTTTACAGTACAGGCATGTTCCAGGAATGGTATAAAGTGTAGTACTTATTTACTATAATGCATTGAAATGACAAAAAGTACAGTCAATTTTGATATCTTTCTAGGAAAGTCGAAATTCAATATCTATAAAGTATAATTAAATAGAAAAATACAACTTTATAATGGTTTCATGCCTATGGGCAATCTTCAGCCATATATATTATACAAATTATGAAAAAACCGTTAAAAAATACAAAATACAAAAACAACAGTAGAATGAGTTCCGACGCCAAAACAGTACAAATAAAAAAGAAGCATAGTTATAAAATTGCTAATCGCCAGTGTCAAAATGGGCAAGAAGAAATTTGTTTTTATGCCTGCACTTAGATAATGTTTCACTCTTTTTATTTAACAAATTTGGGTGTTTAAAAAAATAGAATTTCGTACTTTTCGTTTATGCATAAGTTACATCGTTTTGTTAGAGGATAATAGGATTATAAAGTTTCACAGTACAAGCAAGCCAGTTTTACAGTACAGGCATGTTCCAGGAATGGTATAAAGTGTAGTACTTATTTACTATAATGCATTGAAATGAAAAAAAGCACAGTCAATTTTGATATCTTTCTAGGAAAGTCGAATTTCAATATCTATAAAGTATAATTAAATAGAAAAATACAACTTTATAATGGTTTAAAAACTTAAAAGAAGATATATCTAATATACGCAATTGTAATCTTACCTATACTTTTGCAGATAAAACATCTAATTTATATAACTCATCTAAACAAGACCACAATCGTCTATCACCCAATGCCGTAACTTCAACTTACAAAAAATCAGATCCAAAAGTAAAAAATGATATAAATAAAGAAGGTAAACGCATTTAACAGAATCATGACATTTTTGCTAAAATCGATATCAATACATCATCTAACTGCTTTATAACATTAAAAGACCACAAAGAAAATTTTGCAAACAATCCAACAGTTTGATTATTAAATTCTGCCAAAAATGAAATCGGCAGAATTAATAAAGTTATTCTTTCAAACATAAGTTATGAACTTGTAAAAAGACTCCATCTCAATCAGTGGAAATAAACACAAGATGTTATATGCTGGTTCAAGTCCATCATTGATCCAAATCTTTATGAGTTTCTCATTTTTGATATCGTTGATTTAACTACTTAAAAATGCTATTAGTTTTTCTGAGCAGCGTCTGGTTATAGATCCTGAGCAAAAGTCGATTATTTATCACGCCAGAAAGTCACTGTTGTTTGATAGCAATCAAGTTTGGATTAAGAAGTCAAGCGGATTATTCGATGTTTTGATGGGAGCTTTTGATGGCGCCAAAGTATATGAACTTGTGGGGATTTTTCTTTTATTTTAGATTACGCAGTTTTATAATAAGAATGATTTCGGGTTATACCGTGATGACGGTTTGACGATTTTTAAAAACATCAGTGGTCCCCATATGGAAAAAATTAAAAAACATGTTGTTAAAATATTTAAATTGAACGATCTTCTGATATCAATACAGTACAACAAAAAAATCGTAAATTTTCTGGACATTACATTAAACCTCAACAACCACACCTACCAACCTTACTCCACCCCCGGAAACTCTTTAAATTACATTCATGCTAAATCAAACCACCCATCCAGTATTTTAAAGCAACTCCCACATTCTATTGAACTAAGATTATTAGCAAATTCGTCAAGTGAGGAAATCTTTCAAAAATTCACTCCTATGTATAACGAAGCATTAAAAAATTCCGGTTTTAAGTACAATCTTTCTTACCAACCTAACTTAATATTATCTCACACCAAGAACCGTAAACGTACCATCATTTGGTTCAACCCCCCTTTTAGCAAAAACGCTAGCACGAATATAGGAAAAATATTTTTAACATTTATTGATAAGCACTTCCCTATAAATCACAAGTTCCACAAAATTTTTAACAGAAACACATTAAAAGTAAGTTATAGATGAATGCCGAATATAAAATCCGTTTTAAACGCCCACAATTACCATGTTATAAGGAACAAGAAAGAATCAGCTGAAAATAATTGCAATTGCATAGATAAAAACACCTGCTTTTTATCAAACCAATGTTTAACAAAAAATATAGTATATCAAGCTAATGTATGTTCCAACGATCTTGTTCTAAACTCCCATCAATAAATTTTACATTGGCATAAGCGAAACATCTTTTAAAATTAGATATGCTAATCACATAAAATCTTTTAAAATTCCCAAATACAAAAATGACACTGAACTATCAAAGGAGGTTTGGAGATTAAAAGAGAAAAATTTGAACCCGGTTGTTAGGTGAAAAATAATTAAACAGTACGATGCCTATAATCCTGTAACAAAGCGATGTAACTAATGCATAAACGAAAAGTACGAAATTTTATTTTTTAAATACCCAAGTTTGTTAAATAAAAAGAGTGAAATATTATCTAAATGCCGGCATAAAAACAAATTTCTTCTTGCCCAATATGACACAGTCGATTAGCAGTTTGACAACTATGCTCGTTTTTTATTTGTTTTGTTTCGACGTCGGAACTCATTCAACTGCTGTTTTTGTATTTTGTATTTTTTAACGGTTTTTTCTTGATTTGTATAATATGTATGGCTGAAGATTGCCGATATATATATATATATATATATATATATATATATATATATATATATATATATATATATATATATATATATATAATATATATATATATATATATATATATATATATATATATATATATATATATATATATATATATATGTATGTATGTATGTATGTATGTTTATTCATAGTTTTGAAGTAAAAATGTTTACTTCAAAACTATGGACATGAACATATATTCAATAGAATCAACTTTGTCAACTTAATAAGATAAAAACTAAATCTATAGATTTTTCAAGCACTTCAAACACAATGAACATCTAAAATAAACCTAATATTAAAAAGTTTGGTTTTAAATTTAAGCGGGTCTCTGTGGCAAGACCTTTGATTCTCCGCATAAATCTTAAACTTGGATACTTTTGTTAACCAAGAACCTCTTGCATCACTTTTTTCCGACATCAATTAATAACAAATTTTTTTGATAAGATAATCACAGTAGAACATGCTTCTAAGATCTTATCATATTTATTATTAACAAAAATAATTGCCTTTTGAATGATTGCTTCAAAAACAGTAAATGCAATCAGTAAATATCATATCTTATGCTTCAGGCAAACACAGCTAACACTTATCTTGTCAAAATTTTTGAAACCCTCCATGAATTCTTTAGCACATTCATCAGCATAACTATCTAGGTATTTGTTAGCAAAATCACTAACTTTAAAAAAAAAAAAGATAAAATGAATTTAAAAAATGCTTGCTTTTTAAAATTAAATAAAAGTCCGCAATTTTGATTTTGAATTTAATTGTTATGAATATATAGTATTATTAACCATGATACTAAAAATTTTTTATAGAAATATTTACTTTCAAGTCAAGTTAAAGAAAAAGCTATATGAGGAATCTCAAAAAAAATAGAAGAAAATTTTGTTTTTAATGAGTAGAAAAATAATTTTCAAACTTAATTTTCAAAAAAATTGTCAAAAAAAAAATATATGAAAAGGTTCGTAAGTTAAAATTGTTATGGATATATCTCTGATAAATTTGATAAAAGTATTAAGTCTACAAAACATCTACCAAAATGACAATACAAAAGGAGCACTTTTTAACTATTATTACATAGTGATTACTTTCCGAGTGTTGCATTTTTTTGGTTGGTTTTTAAAAGTCAAAAAATAAAATAATTGTAAGATTATTTAAATAAACATCTTTAGTTAGTTTTATTGTAACTCTAGATTTTATTAGGCATTATTCTTGTCATATATTTATTATATTTTATGCATTTGTAGTGTTAAAGATATTTTCCATGAAAGAGCGTGGTTACAAACAACAGTTTTCAAAGTAGAAGTAGGCAATAATTTGCTTTTCCACTTTTTATTTTGTTCTATGTTAATTTATGTTGAGTTTTTTCCACGTAATCTATATGTAATCAACAATTTTTTAAGGAAACCAACTGTTTAAATGAAATAATATAAAGCTTATACACAGTGCTCGGAGTGGGGAGACATGTGGCGGGATGCCATCCCGTCACTTTTTTGTAGATTATAATTATTTGTAAATTATAATATATATATATATATATATATATATATATATATATATATATATATATATATATATATATATATATGTATATGTATATATATATATATATATATATATATATATATATATATATATATATATATATATATATATATATATATATATATATATATATATATATATATATATATATATATATATATATATATATATATATATATATATGTATGTAAAAAAAATTTTCTAATTTTGTGAAAAGAATTTTCGCAAAAATCTTATTTTTGCAGTCATTTATTTTTGTTTTTAAACTAATATTTGAAATTTTCTATTTAGACAACATAATAAATAGTGATTTTATTAAACATTCTATAAAAAGCATCTTTTTTTAAATTATAATTTTTCTTCTTCAAATGGTCATACTTTTTGTCATTTTTACTTTAAAATCAAATTGGTAAACCCCAAGGCATCATTAATTTTTATTTTATTTTTTTGGTAGATTTGGAATCTCCATAAAGTGTTCCGTGGAAATAAAGTGCAAAACAAACTTTATTTTTTTATTCTCAGCCCATTTTTGAGTTGCATTAGCTCTAATTTTGCAGTTATTGACCAGGATTTGTTAAATGACGCTGCGAAAAATTAACATTGTTCAGATATACCATAAATAACTCTTTCCTGTCACTTTTTCTTTTTTTTTTGTCACTTTTTTTCTTTGCAATTAAGTCTAATCATTCATTAGTCCCTCTCGCGCCAGCTTTAATTATCAATTAAATTTTTCTCATTTGGATTCAAGTAGAGATTAAAATAGTTTTTTTCGATACTCTTTATTTTGTAGTTCATTCTAGTAGTGTTTAAACAAATTCTTTAACGTCATAAAAAACAGCTTGGTATGACCAATATTGGCATAAATTGGAAAAGTGTTTTGAAATTTTTAAATTTTAGCCTCACCTTTAAAGTTATGTAAACAAAAAATTTTGTGTTCAAGAGTAATGGGGGTTATAAACTTTACATGGTCACCGTTTCTAAATGCTGATAGTTTCGTTGATGAACTTTGAATTATGTGAAAGAGGTTTGATTCACTATAGAATAACGAAGGTTTTTTTTCATAATAAGTTTTCCTTCACGGGAATCAAGAAGATAATACTATTGGTGTATTCCCCCAAGTTTGGATAGCCGTAATTCTTTGTAGACTCTCCTCATTTTGCATATTATGAACATATAAAAGTTTTAAGCTTGTACCATGCTTACCATGCGTAACATGTGTAGCATGCTTGAAAGATAATCATCTTGAAGTCAAACTTCTTTTAAAATGTGAAGCTATATTTTTTATATATAAGCATATCAAACTACGGTTGCACATAAATAACCTCTTAGAAACTTTTTTTCAAGCCTGAAGTCATTTAGGGTAGAGCGGGGCATATTGGGACATAACGGGACAGTTATGCCTGAAGCCCTATATCTTTGCTAAAAATAATTTTTTTCTAAATTTTTTTGATGAAACATTTTAAAGTATCGTGCTTCGTTATTGTAAAAAAAAATTTTAGAAATACTAAAATGCATTAAAAGAGCCAAAGTGCATCAGTAAGTTTGCGAAACACAAAATTTGCGTATTTTCGCGATAGAGCGACAAAAAATTTATCTTAAACTCTTACGAATTTGCTTTATTTATAAAAAATTTATACTTTTCAGACAGTGTTTTTTATTCTCTTTTAGAATCTGGTTTCAAAATAATATTTGGAATTGAACTTTTTGAATATTATTGAATTTCAGTAAAATGACTTTTGTCGGGCATTTCGGGACAAGAAAAGTATTTATATAATTGAGTATGTTACTACCATTTCGCAATGCTGTTTACAGTTTGATGATTTTATTTATAACATAAAATATTATTATTTTTATTTAGAAAATCAATTTTAGCAATAAATTCTAAGAAATTTTATTTTTATAACTTAAATTCGATTATTAATAGTGTTTAATGTAAACAAAAAAGGTAAGAAACTATATAAGTAAAATCAATCATCCAAATCGGGATGAAACTCAGTATTAGTTGTGAGTAAACAATAATTTATAATTAGAAAAACCGATCATACATATGGCGTATTTAAGTTTGCGCTACATTGACATATTGCTAATATTCCAGCTCATCAAAAATGTTGCCGAACAGTTTCAAGATAATTTTTGTATGATTTGTGTAATCCATAAAATATTTTCTTTAATTTTAAATTTAGTAGCATTTATCAATTTAATAACATATAGGTTAGAGTAGGGTGGAGGTATTTTATAATAAAACACACAATAAAATATTTTATTTTAGCTGTTATTTCTTTTTGTGGTGTATGGATGTATGGACGTGTAATTTCTATGGATATGTTACTTTTTTGAGAGTTTAATGTCTGAACATATTTAGGCAACAGATTCCCTTCATTTATCATCAATTTTAACGTTTTACAATTGACGAATAACTGCTGCTTTATAACTGTTTTGCCCCACCCACTTGCAAAGTGTAAAAGTTTGCTAGTCTAAGAGATTTAGAAAGTTTATAAAAAAACTGTGTTAAGTATGATTAGTTTATCCGCAACTAGCATTTGTTTCTTAAGTGTCCCGATATGCCCCGCTTTACCCTAAAATGGTATACTTAGACCAACTTTCAGTTCTAATGACTATTATCTGTTTAAAACTTATTTATAATTATCTATAATTATCTACTCAAATATTTCCTTTAAAATTATTACCATAGGATTTTTTCCCTTAAATAAACATAAATAAAATCAAAAACATTGTGGCGTACGAGCACCACGTAATTTCACAAAACGATGAAGCAGCGCAAGATGTAGATATTTATTTATTTTTTAATTGTAATTTAAATTAGACTATTGCTAGATCTAGTAACTATATATAACCACGTTATAAATTTGTTTTATACTTTAAATAATAATATTAGATAAAAGTGATTTGTGAAGTACGCGATTACGAACATGGCTGTGCGTTGCGAAAGATATTAGAAATCAAATACGACGATGTCAATTGGTTATCTAACGCCATTCACGATGGATCCGAAAATTGACAACTACCCGGAAATATTTTCAAAATCAAAATTTCTTGAGTGTTGTATTTGTGAATTTTTAAAACTTATTTAAAGATTTTAAAATTTTATCATTAAAATTTTTTAGAAAAAAAAGTTTTTGTTAAATTTTTTTAGAAACGCTTTGTGTTACATTTTTCTAAATGAAACTAAAAAACGTTTTACTTAAAAGCTTCATTAGTTTTATTTAAGAGTTGTAAGAAAAACAACATTTATTTTGTGTGTCACATTTTTTTAAATTATATTTTTAACAAATATTTAAAGCTTTATAATGTTTAAACGTTTTCCTTTTTTAGTTGTTAATATAAATTATTTACGGAAAAATGTGTTTTATGTTATAAAACAAACGTTTTTATCAAAAAGTAAAAATATATATTTTTGATGTATTATTTTAAAATCTTTTGATATTATTTTTTTTTCGGATTTTAAAATGTGTTTTGTATATACGAACAAAGTAACATAAATTGTAACAATTGTATATTAAAAAATGACGGACAGATGATTTCCTAATGGCACAGTTGACCTCAAAGATCAATTCAGAATTTTGAATTAAGACAGTTTTTAGTAGGGTTGTTCGCCGATAAACAAAACTTTCAAAAATTTCGCATTTTTATCTTCCGTAACTAAAATTGCTATTACGAAAGTTACTCAAATTCACCTTCCGTGTCGAAATATACGAAAAAAATAAATAATAATTCCGTAATAACGAAAAGAAACTTGCGAAAAAAATCATTTCGAAAGAATACTTGTGAAACAGTTTCTTACGGAATGAGCATTTCGGAAAGCGCTTACGGAAAAGGTTTGAAAGCATTCATTAAACTGTTATAAAAATAATAAAAATGTTTTTAACTCGATAAGAATAATGTTGTTAAATTGGTTCTTCAATAATTTATAACAATATATCTGTTAAACTTACATCCAGTAAGAGATTTCATTACAAAGTTTAATTTAACTTCACGTGTTTGTTGGCCGTTGTCAGTTTTTACTAAATCTTGCAATCAATTTATGTCTACCTTTTAGACTAGCAACAACTCTGAGACTTTCAGCGCTTGGATAGTCCTGGTGAGCTTCTATGTTAAAAATATGTTTTTATTCTAAGGGTGAAGTCGTATTGAACTTGCCAGCTTTTTTGGAACAAAATCATGCAATTAATTTTTTACCTCCCACCAAAATAGATTGAGCTATAAAACTTTCAGCAGTTGTATAGTCCCAATAACGTTGGGATGTTGCATATTAAAGCATTTTCCAGGACCAACAATACAAGGGGGAACATGTGCCCTTCCCACCTTTCTACCCTAATTTTTTTGTTTTTTTATAAAAAATTTTAGAAAAAATTTTTAAAAGGGATGTTTTTTAATTTTTTTAAATATGCTTGTTGTTATTAAGGTAATAAAAGCAAAAGCTCATATCACAGAGCACCTCAAAAATAAAAAATAAATGAAATGACTAAACATAAAATCGTTCTATTTGAATACAAGTGAGAGATATTTAAATATATAATTTAGTTTTAGTATTCTTTAGTTAAACTAGGTCTTTTTTTGATTTCAACAAACACATTGTTTCCCGATTACGCAATTGCATTCGAATGTTAACGCTGTTCAAGTTATCTTCTTTATTTAATTCTTATTCATAACATCCCATTTTAAAAAGAATATTTTATGAAAATTTTGGTTAATTCATAAAAATTTACATTTGAAACTTATTAATATCATACAATAATTAGTATTTTAGTTACTTGGTTAATTATACGTATTTGATTCATAAAAGGTAATTAAATATATTTATTAAGCCGCGTTTTGTACGTTTTTTTTTTGGTTAAGAATTGGGTGCGGATTCACCAAAATTTCGTAAGTCTTGCGTAGCTCCACTAAGGTTACGGAAATCCTACGTTCAGCGTTGTTTTCGTAACTATTTAGTATTCACCAATGTTTCGCAGCATTTCCGCAAGTAGGGTTGCGCATGAGTTGAGCTGAACTTACGCAAAAACTCATTCAAAAAAAACAACAACCGAGTAGTTTTTTTTTTTTTTAATAATTTTATAAAACAAACTTTTCTAATATTGAATTCATATAATTTATAACAAATTTAAATTTGGGATTATTACTAATTAAAATTTTTTACAGCCAAATAAAATGAAAGTAATATATTTATAAAACTCTGCTATAAAAACTAAATACTTTTAATTAAATATTTATTTAGTAAAAAGTATTAAGAAAAAAAATTTTAAGTAGAAAAGAGGCAAAAGAGTCTAGAATTAATTAATCTACAAAGACGTTATTAAGGTCAGGTAAATTTTGACAGTTGATTAATATACAATTAATCTTGCTACAAAACTTTCATTTTATTCGATCATAAATATCACATAAATAGTGTTTATTTAAAATAGAAATAATTAAAAGTTTGTATGCTAATTTGACCTTAGCATGAACAAACTCAAGTTTGGAGTTTGTATAATACCTAAACAAGTCATATAAAAAACATCAAAAAAATCCTTGTGACGTTTGCTCGTATTAGATTTAACAATATATTAGCAAACAAACAGTTTTAATTAATGTTCTTTGTACATGCCAAGTTTTCTTTGTACAATGCTAAGTTTTCGAATTGGTTGACTTGTGTTAATTTAGCCTGAACATCATGTACATCATCTTATCATTGTCCTAAAAGTTTATGTCATCTGGAATTTCTAATCCTTAGCAATTGTAAAAGTTTTTTAGTAAATTGTACATAAAATATATTTTTCACTATATTGTTAGGCTGAGTATATATTAGGAGCACTGAAGTGCTCCACCTTTCTTGTGGCCTCCAGTGGTTTTTAAGATGACCTTTTTTAGTTCAGAATTAGAAAAAAAAATCATTATCCAGGATACTTTTCGACAGCATCACTGAAAAATTAAAAAAGTTATCTTTAAGAAAGAAGTCAGTAATAAATCAACTTCTAGTCTATAAATACTGTATAAATCAGCTTCATTTGTAACAGCCCATTAATAACAAACATATTTAACAACAAAAGATCAAAAAAAGCAAAGCAGGCGGTTGGTTTGGAAGTAGTATCAAATGGAACTTTACAAAGTTCTTGTTTGATAGAAATGGAATACTTGTGAAACGATACTCACCTACTGACAATCCTCTTGATGCTGAAAAAGATATCATTTCTGAGCTTCAACAAAACAAATCAGAGCTATAAATTTATTTTCTTTATTTGTATAATATTCAAACTTTTAAACTGCTATTTTGTAGCTAATTTTTGAATTGACTAAACTTTTTGAATTGACTTACGGGGTAAAGCATAAATAGCGATGATGTTTATCTGACGGGGTAAATTAGGTATTGGTGCTGAGCCTCTTCGAAACGCCGGTAATAATAAACGCGATTATGAGTAGAAGTTTATTACCGCCACTACATAAATTATGATTACACAAAAACAATAATGTTTTTTTTTTATTTTATGCCTCCTATGAATTTATATTTATTCATTTTGAATACTGATATATCTATACATATGTATTTTTATTTTTAAGTATGTTAAATATTTGTGTTTAATGGAGATTTATGGTTACTTATGTGTCCTGTTTTTTTTTTTTTTTTTGTTACATTTTTTTTTACATGCGCGATGCATAAATTATTATTATTTTTTACTACTAGCTTTACTATAGTATCTTTTTTTTTTGTTCTGAACATCTGTTCAATATATATTTTTAACTATTTTATCCTTTTTCTATTACTAAATTTTTCCTTATTTCACTTAGACTTGACAGCTCGGTCTAGTCCTTTGATGCATATTTTTGCATTTTTTTAAAGTTGACTAATAATTTTTTCCAATTACTCTTCGAAAACTCCCAGTTACTTGATAAGACCCTCATTGATATTAGCATTTTTGCTTCTGAAAAAATTGGGTCGCTTCTCATTGTGATTAGTGACAAATCATTGTTAATGTGTTGACAATATCTCTATTTACTTTTAGACAAACAAAATTTTTGAACACATTCTACATCAGAATAATCATTTAAAGTAACATGCTGAGCTGAGCAACATACATGCTGAGCTGTATATATATATATATATATATATATATATATATATATATATATAGAGCTATCATAATGTTAGAGGAAAGTCGTCTATGATGGCATATTTAGCATATTGGCAAATAACTTTGAAGCTTCGTTATTCGGTATCCTGAACACCAAAAACAAAAATTTTGATATGGATACATTCTTTGTTACATGTAGAACAATAATAACCTTAGGAAATTTCATCAGTTTTATTTTTTTATTAGTAACTTTTATTTAAAAAAAAAAGCACAAGTACTCTATCATAGGCAACTACTGCTCCTATGATGAAATAGGGGAGAATAAGGTTTGTTAGCATCAAGGGTAACTTGATAACCTCATTTGACCTAAGAGTCTTCCCTCTTGAAAAGAGGGAAATCCCTGAAACTACGCGTAATCATCCTAATTAATCCATTCGTGCTAAGCTGCAACCTCAGAATATAAGGTATTACCGAAATCATAAACAAAACATGGGATGAGACCGAAGATAAAGTATTAAAACTATTCTCTAACACTTTAAGAGTCAATGAAGTTGAAATTGACAGAGCTCACCGCACAGGTCACAAAAAAGAAGGACGACCGAAAACTATAATAATGAAACTACTAAGATATAAAGATAAATTTAAAATTCTAAAAGAAGCTCATCCTCTAAAGAAGCTCATCCTCTAAAGGGACTAAACATTTACATCAATGAAGATTATTCTCGAGAGACAGCAATTATGAGGAAGAAATTGTTTATTGAGGCAAAATAAAGAAGAGAAAAGGGAGAAAATGTTGGAATAAGGTACGATAAAATTATTAAACTAAAAAACGTATCTACCAAGAAAAATACCATTAAGTAAAAATAGTTATTTTTATTATTATAAATGAGATATAGAAATTTAACAACAAAAATGACTGATAAAATAATTAAAACAAAAACTTTTGAGATTTTTGATAAGAAAAATATGCTAATTTTGAATAAAACTAATGATCCTGATATAAATCTTTTTGAGGATATTGATATTGAGTCTTGTTACTGTAATGTTGAGGAATTATCTTGTTATATACGCTCAACGCAACCATCATTT